GCAAAGGGGTCGCGGAATGCGCGCCTCCAAATGCGCTTGTGTGTATGTGAGATCGTCGGAGCTGTGCCGAGTTCGTTAACGGCCAGTTCCTAGGTTCAGCCATGACATGTCTGACTGTCCATCCTTGGACTTGTTTTGTGCTCCGCCGGGACCGGGGAACATTGTGGATGTGCTTTCATGTCCTAAACGAGGGGCAGGGTAGAAGGAACTTGGCTGGTTGTTCGATGAAGGAGCTGCTGCTGAAGGGTTGGGTCCTGGAAAGAGAGTGACTGTGCTCTCGCGCTCCTGCGGGAGACCAATCCGCGGTGGAGATGGATACATTGAGCTGAATTTACTCTTGGGCATCTCATCAGTCGGGGCAGCTGGCCGGTTCCCTGAAGGGAACATGGTGTTTGAGCTATCGCGATTGTCTGGAATGACAGTGGTTCCTTGGCCTGGGTAGAAAGAACTGAAGTTGCTCTTTGGGTAGAAAGAATCAGTGCCATCAGGGTAGTAAGAGCTAGTGGCGTCGTTCTTGTTGTTATTGTTTGAGTCGAAAACCATGCTGCCAGTGTACGCGCTGCTGGTTCTCTGGTTTTCACCGACAGGCGTCCAACTTTCCACGGGGTCGCGGAAATAGTGTTCATTGTAGCTCACACCGGATCGGGTGCTACCGTTCGAATTGGCGCGACCTAGCTCAGCTTGCATGGGCTGCACTTGGTGGGGCAGTCTCTCTGTCGAGCTTCCAAGCGTTGGGCTCCCACTGGCGACTCTGCTCAGACGCTGTCCGTCGAATGTAGGAATCTGGAGTGGTGCTACATGCTGTGATAGATGCTGGTTGTAGATTCGTGAGTTGGTGTACTGTGATTGACTGACTGTGCTTGTCCGATCCGAAGCGTAGGTTGAGCGATCCGCTTGTACGTTCGCGAGGTTCGTCGCCTCGTTGTTTGCAAAGTAACGACTCCATCCAGAGCTTCGAGAGCGCGGGGTTGATTTGGTCATAGCGGGCACACGGCCAGAGTTCTGTCGCACCATTTTATCGTTTACGGGCTCGGGCTTCAGATCGAACTTTGACAACTCGACAGGATCTGAATATCCTAGTGGACTTGTCTTCTTCATGAGACCCGCGGTGCTAGCATCGCTGGCCATGTTCTTCTTGTGGCCGTTCACACCACGGCCTTGGATAATGGCCAAAGAGGTGTGCGAGTCGTTACCCAAGTTGTAGGGATGGGTCACTTCTGATCCACCAGCTTCCTTCATAAAGTCCGCTCCACGGTCCGCGAAGCTCATGCGATCCTTTTCTACGTAACCTTGGCTTTGCTTGCTCTTGCTCTTCCTGTACTTGAGGCACATGAGTATCAGAATGAGAATAGCGGCAATGCCAAAGATGGTGCCGAGTGTGGCTCCCAGGACTGTCATCATCTTGGCCTTGTTGTCAGGTGCGACTGGCAGTACTGCAGCATCGCCAGATGAGCTCGGAGTAGTGGACGACACGGGTGTTGAGGTTGGCGAACTGGTTGGCGAAGAAGAGGAGCTCACCGAGTTTGAAATGACCTGCTGTCCAGAGAACAATGCCGTGGCATTCATCCACGAATTCTCTTTTGCGTCAAACAATACGATTGGATCAGACTGATTGCCTCCACTGGCAACGGTGAGTCCCTCTTTGGACTGTGCAAGAGAGTAGCCTGAGCGTGCAGAAGTCGGCGCATATGTTGAGTTGTACTCGGGCCAACTGTCCACGGTGACACGCTTCGCTTTTCCAGGAGTTGCGCCGGGAGCAGCAGGAGTGCCATCTTCCTTGATCAGGAGGATGCGATCGACCTTGTTTGGTGTGACGCTCATGTCGAACTTTTCAAGCACCCTACTCTTGCCCTTGCCGGACACCACGGTACATTGGACGGCCTCGGGATTCACGATTGGCTGCTGGAGCGCGACTCCTAGGTCTTGCCAGCCGGTCCCGATGCTGAACTTCCAGAGAGCTGTGTTAGCAGCACCTCCACCAACAAGCAGAGCTGATTCGTCGTCCATGCTGATGAGCATGGGCTTCACTAGCGGCGGTGCGCCATTGGATGGCTGGCTTTCGACGGTGTAAGGCGGGACGGTGGACATGAGAAACGTTTCCGAGGAGGGTCCGTTGGCTCCAGTGGTCTGCGATCCAGAGTAGATGAGGAGCTTCTTCGCCTTCTCAAGATAGACTGCGCCGTGGTTCTGTCGGTTCTGTGTGTTCCAGCTTTCGGCCCGCAACCAATCCCACTTCTTCTCCTTGAATGTGTAGTGCATCAGTCCGGGGTAGTTCCACGTGGAAGTCGTCTCATTGACTGCTCCTCCGACAATATACATCATTCCAGCCGCCTCGGCGTTGACGCAGGCGGCCCCTGACAGCGATATGTCCATGGGCATTGCCGTCCATTCCGCCCCCTCTTCAAGCTTCAGCGACTGGAAACCAGCAGATGAATAAACATAGAGCGTGCCATCGTGGACGACAGAACAGTGGCCGTTCAACGGGAATGTGGGTTCGGAGTAACCCATGTTGAGTGGGGTCGTAAAGTGAGCGGGCGAGCAAGCGCGATGGTGGACTTGGTAAGCCAAGAGAGAAAGCAACGACCGACTATGTCTCTCTAATACATCTCATGACGGGGCAACAGGTGGGCTAGAAGTGAGGGTTCGTTCCGAAGGCCGGGGTGGTGCGCGGCTCCAAGGTGTTAATGGTGTGAACTGTGGTGGAGACAGTGTCAGTGTTGTTAAATGGACATGGAACGCGTGTAGCATACTCGAATCGAAGACAAAATATCGTGGGAAGGCGCGACGGTGTCTCAGGGCAGGCGCGAGTGGGACGGGATTGCGAAGAGAGCGAGGGCGAGACTCTTTCAAAGAGGGAAGGTAGTGTGGTATGGTATTGGTATGGGCCAGGCGGTATACAGCGGAAAGGGAGGACAGGCGACAATGAAGGGCAGCACAGCTCAGCAGTGTGCGGGAGGTCGGAGGTATCGATACTGATACGCGCTGCAGGTGAGGCTGTTCAGGCACTCGGGAGTGACAGCTGAGGAGAGACAGCGGTGCGAGCGAGAGGGAGTCTGGCGGCCGCTGAGAGGGTCCGTCCATTCTTGCGGGTCGTGCAAGGGCGCGCTTCACAGAGGCCTGAGCGCGCACACTCGAACGGGCCAAGCGGCGACGGCACAGGCGAAGCTTGAGGCCATGCAACACGAGGTTGATGGTCAGGGGCGGAGAGTGGGTGGCCTATCGCAGCCCGGGTCGCCCCTCCCTTCATTCGCCCACACCCCTGAGGCTAGTTCGGCGCGGCAGCAGGGCTCCACGGGCAGCCTGCATCGCCAGAAACACACCATCGTCAGAACACTCTCTAGCACGCCCGCCCGTACCACCACGCTTTTGCTGGCGATGCAGCGCACGACAGCTGGCGGCGTGAACCGTGGCCGATGAGAACGCCGCTCGAGCGCCATCGCCCACGCGAGCACTGCTGCAGTGGATGAAGTCATGCCCAACTGTTGGTGTTGTCGCTGTGTCGATCCGTATCTGCTCGTACGTTCCAAGCCCTCTTGAAACTTCAACGGGATGGGGACGGGCAAGGATTTCCGCCATCGCCGCCCCTTCCAACCCCCTCCCGAATCTCGACAGACCGCCTCTCGCTGCCAAACGGGGCATGGTCTATCCGGTATAGGGCAGACGCGTTGCGTGTTGCTATTGCGAATGGGCACGCAGTAGGCATTGCAGCACTGTACCATGAGACGCCCGCGGCCTGCATAGTGTGCTAAGAATGTTCTTTACGGGCGAGGTGCGCTAAAAATCCGACACGATCGTGTATGCATAAAGGCCCAGCACGAGTACGCTGCGCGCAGTAGTGTCTCCCATGCAAGCCCGTCGACTGTCCGGCGAACACTCTTCAAAGCCAGTGAGTAAAGCACTTATCGTCACTTCACGACGCTAGATAAATATTCCGCCGAGCGAGCCGCTACTGGTCAGTCGTCACACCCTCCGTCACGTCGAGGGGAGGGCGATTCGAGAATGTGAAATGTGATGGCATGAACGCAATCAAAGTCCAAGCGCGCGCTCGACAGCCGCTTGGGTGACCGCCCACACCCGCTCTAAAACGGAAACACCGCCCCACCTGGCCACCTCATTGGGCAGGAACACCTGACTCAGCGCACAGAATAGCCACTGCTCACCACTGTCCAGGGACTACACCTGCAACGACCGAGCGAGATCCAAGGAACCAGAAGACTGTCACGCACTGCTAAAATCGATTCCCCACATTCGGATAAGCATGACCGCATCTATACTCTATGGCTAAAGACGTGCCACCCTATCTGGACGCAGAGCACCGACTTCAGCCACGACCGCGTCCCAATGTGCTGTTGATCCATCTCTTCAACTATGCGCCAATTTACCTGACGTAAAAGTCTGGGGTAGGGCAAACTCTCCAGAAACACGGGAATTGGCACCCTCCGACAACTGTTTTCGTGCGTTAGAACGTGCCCAGGGATACCCCAATGTGTCCATTGGATCAGCACAGCATGCTCTCTTCCAGGCAGCCGATCTGCAGTCCGCGAAAGAAGACCCCTACCGACAGCTGTCTTGCACGTGGAGTTTCCCGAAATGTTTTCATGTCTCTGTCTTTTGTGGAGGAGACCACGCGTTGGTTGTAGATCGTGATGCTTCGACGCAATGCTGCATCGGACGTACTGCAAAACGTCTATGACATATGCGCTTCTATTATCGCAACGGTGACCCTGCCATCTTTCCTCCGAGCTTGAAACGGGTTGTTATGGCCTTTGATCTACTCGAAGTCGGGGAATTAATCCAGAGTGGCTAAGAACATTTCTATTTCGAATTTCATGCAACGGGCCGATCTGTTCCAACTCAGGTGCGTGACCAAAGACAAGCACCGGTAGGGTGGACGGTCATTCATGCACCGACAATCACCCGCTTTGACAGCGATGTGGCACATCTTGCAGTACACAAAGAGTTTCAGACAACGGTATCTGTCTTATACTTCCTAAAGTGTAGCTTTATTGCATCGGCTTTGGTAATCAACATCTCCATAGACCTTCCAGGCTGCGCTTTCTCATCAAGGACATGCGGGCAAGACTCAACCGTTGCGACTGCGCATGAATACCATGTACGCATTTAGCCAACTCTGCAGTGCCATGCAAAAACGTCGCCGTTCCCTCAACACATTCTATCTCGAGCACCATCTGTCGAGCTGATTGAGCAACACTCTTTTCCAGTCTGATCGAAGGCGGACCAAAATAATCAGGCAAGCGTGCTTCACGTCTTCCAATTTCAGAAACAGTTCCACGAACACATGCAAACACTCCATCAATACCACCCAGTGCGATCCTAGCTCTCCACGCCAGATTTATAACTCTGCAACCACTCAGGTCTCGCGCGTGTAAGCTTCCGTCCAGATTGGGTGCGGCATTGATTCCTTCCGGTTCGCACCGCATCGAGGTTGACATGCCTGATTGGCGATAGTCATATGTCAGGATGCTAAGCGTTGGCAGAACTCTGCGACAAACCATGAACGTGAGCATTCGGAGTTCGAGTTTGATCTCCAGTAGAACTTGCGATGCACACGATGTCCTCTTGTCTCGGATTCTCGGTCCTTCATGTGGATGGGACGAATAACATTTCGATGACTTAGGCTGTTAGACAATAAACGTTGAAATTTTATGAAAACTAACTTTACTTGAACGTATGTACTACGGTGTTTGGTCTCGCAGAAGAACGTACGGCTTGTACATGCTATCCAGAACTTACTGCACCGTTGGAGGAGGTGACACTTGCGATCGACCTCGATAAGCCATCGAATCCATCTCTACAGCCAATACTCGGCTCACCGTGATAAGCAAGATTCTCAATGACGACGTGTTCGAGCTCCATCAGCTGCCACTTACATACCTGACATATTCCATCGTGTAAGTCGACACCCGCATGCCAGCCACAACCACATTCCAGAACGCACCCTATGTCGCCCACGAGCATTTGGAATCGCATCCACCCGCACCGACGTCACCCCAGCCCTATCTCGATCCCCACCTTCCATCTCAACCACGTAAACCTCGTCAAACCAAACTCAGGTCGAGATTCCAGGTCTAGGTCGCACCGCGCTAATTCGGCTCCTTTAACCGAAGAAGTCTTCGACATCAACTGTAGGTTTCTCGATATGCATGACCGTAGTCGCAGCACGTGGCGATGGTAGCGGTGCGCTAGAATATTCTCGACTGCTAGAGGCGTTGCGGCTTGTCCATGTCAAGGCGATAAGGTTTGAGAGGTATAAGTCAGTGTGTTGCAGATGGGCTGAAACACAAGTCCATGGTATTAGCGGGCGTCTTGGTGGCGGGGAATTCTTCTCGAACGCGCGACGGAACGTGGGTGGAAGAAATGGCGCGCCAATCATGGGTGGGAGAGGATATGGCTAGATTTTGATGGGGAGTTTGTGGTCACATGGGATCTGGAGATGAGTATTGAGGGGGGAATGATTTTGCATTTTGACTTAGCGTGAAAGGTGCACGATATGTGCTTGAGTTCAAGACATGTATCTCACCGTCAAACCATCCCCTTCATTGGTAGTCTCGAAGGCGGTCTGCAGGCGAGCAATGACAGTAGTCATTGTGTTTTCAATCTGCGCTAGTCGTATAACTCTTCCTGGCCATTTGTTGGGCCGGTGAGCAGATATTCTAGCGGGATGGGTGGGAGCGACGTCACGCAAATGGGCATCACAGCGGAAGGAGGAGTAACAGTTCCATTCATTGCCGTACTCCGTATCCTTCATGGTATCATCTCATAAGAAAAAGCCTTCGACAGAGCCGGATGATGGCAAGTCCATTGTTCGAGCTAGAAGCCGGTGTAACGCCCTGCTTTTTTTCATGCGCGTATCGCATGCCCAGACCGTGAACCGAAGATATGCATTCCGTCTACTCGTTGCGAAAAGGGATAGCTCGTGCTGACCCCGGACGTCAAAGCCGTGGAGTATCGTCAAGTGTCGAAATCGTCCACCGCTTAAGCCTGCTGCTTCTTCTTCTTCTCCTCACGGCCGTTGCTCTTGCGCTCCAGGATCTTCTCTCGGTCCTTGTCAAGCTTGAGCTTGGTGACGACGACCTTGGATGGGGCGAGGGGGATGGGAACCGATTGGCCGTTGGACTTCTCGCGGACGACTGTATCACTGGTGAGTACCATGCCTTCCATCTGAGAGGGAAATACGCACTGCCATTAACGTGGATGCAGTACTTGAGGCGGTAGACAGAGGTGACCTTGCCCTCACGTCCCTTGTTGGAGCCGCGGACGACCATGATCTCGTCCTGCGAACAGTTAGCACACAATGGCGACTGGGTATGAGAGAAGAGGTACTTACATCCTTGCGGATGGGAATGCTGCGCACACCGTGCTTTTCGCGAAGCTCCTTACTCAGAGGCGCCTGAAGATGTTAGAACAAGCCATACAAGATGTTCTTCGTCTTCATACGCTCATGATGACCCGACGCACACTACTCGGCGCAGAGAAATGCGCCTTTCGCGACTTGCGGCGAGAGCTTGCTACAATTGACCTGGCCATTGCTGCTGTGAAATCGAGGTTGTCGGGTTAGTAGGGGAAAAGTCGTCGTGGAAATGTGCAAAATTGACCGGCAGTGCTATCGCTCGCTTGTGGGTGGGGCGGAGGAACAGTTTTGCCGATGCAGCGGCGCGTGCAGGCCATGCACGGACTATACATCAAGCGCCGCTCCGAGGCCTGTCGCATACCGAACGCGTGCACCAGCAACTCGACGATCCTGGTAACGCCGCTACCAAACTGCACAAGCACGCGTCGCAAACACTGACCTGGCGTATTGGTCGCGTTCCACTAATCTGACCGCCACCATCTCTTCTCTCGAACGCGCCGCCACCTGTCATACACTCCACCCTGCCGTCCGGGGTTTTGCGATCTTCATGTGTTCAATCGGAATAAGCGGTATAGCGACATCCAAAGGACGGTATGATCTGTAAACGACGTCAGGATGTCGTCAAACGAATACAACCCATACAATTACCCATACCAACAGAGCTCTGCTCAACAGTACTCGGCATATCAGACCGCGCCCGCCTCTAACAATGTCCCGCAACCGTCGCGCCACTATCAACAACCTGCAACGACACAGGCCAATGACTACATGTCATACCAAGGACACACTCACGGTGGACAGAGCAATGGCTATGGCGCACCGGGGCAAGACAACTCATGGAAAGGCAGCATTTATGGGGGCAGCCGGGAAACCACGAGAGGCGCTGCAGAAGTGCTGCGTAACATGAGCAACACCTCGTACACGCCCAACAGCACAAGCGTGACCCCATCAAGCTTCACTGCGGCGAACAACACCACTGCGCAGACCTCGCAATTCTACACAGGCTCTTCCCATTCACCACGAATGCAGCCACAATCGACCCATACTTCTCAGTCCACCTATGGCCAGTCTCAGCCTCGACCCCCAAGCGTGAATACAAATCCTCCACAACGGACTGCGAATAGAGGCTTACCCTCGCCAGCCACTGCGGCTGGCTATCCTTCACAGAGAGCACAGACTATCTACAACCAGCAACAGCAGCGGTCCGCAAGCCCGGCCCAACTTCAATACAATAACAGCTCCGCTGCTGCAGTGACTTCTTCGAGGGACGCCGCGATGACAGCTGCTGCGTCACAGCAGTTTACAGACTATGATCGTCGGCAGCTAGCGAGTGTGGAAGCTTCGCGCTCAAATCAGATAGCCACACCGTCCACTTCTTACAACTATGCCAGCACTTCAACAATTGCTCAACCCGGTCCCATTGAGCCTCCACCGTCCAGTGCTGCCGAGACCTACGCTGGTCAAGGCTCCACGGTAGACCCGATGGCTATCTACGATCCGTGGCCCGAGTACCAGCGAAAGCAAGAACTCATACGCGCTCAAAAGGCTATTGAAGATGCAGCACGCGCCGAGGATGAGCGTACAGCAGAAGAAGCTCGAAAGGCAGGAGAGGCAAAGGACGAAGAGCGGAGGCGTCTAGAAGCGCGGACTGCCGCACTTCAATCCACGCAGAAGTTAAAGAAGACACAAAAGCAGCAGCAAAGTTCGGCTGAAGCCAGTTCCGCCGCCCCAGATGCAGATCCAGCTACTGGCGATGCTCTCGAGGCGGAAATTCGTGCAATGATGGCAAAGATGCGCGAATTGAACAGTAAAGACCCGGCTCTTCTTGCGCGTATATGGGAGGAGGAGCGAAGAGCTAAAGCAGCGCCGAAGTCACCAACAGTTCAGAACAAACCCACTACACAGGCGAACTCCGCTGCCCCAGCTCAATCTTCTCAAGCAAACACACCACAGGTTGCCAATCAGAGAAGAAAGGCAGCGCCCAAAGAAGCTTCGTTCACAAATGCAGCCAAACCGGCAACGCCCATACCAGCTCCAGTTGCACCCATGAGCACACCAGCTCAGGCCTCTACTGCACGTCCTGGTAACACGATCTGGCCGCTTGAGAAGAGAAATCACCTAGCTGATGCAGCTGCGAAATACCTCCAGGTCCAGAACCCAGCCGCCCTTGTGGATGCATCCCAAGATACTCAGCATGTTGAACAGCAACCCTTCCTATATTGAGCTCTGTGCACAACTGGAGCAATCCGGCCTCAAACTCGATCGTGCAGCGTTTGCAAAGAATCTGCTTACCGCAGTACCTGATGTGAACTCAACGGGTCGCAAGGCAGCACCGCCGCAGCCAACACCAGTGTACCGTCCTCAGGTACCTGCTGCGGTTATGAAGAAGGAAATCGCAACGCCCGGAGCTGCCAGCCCAGCTTTTACACCTGCCGTCGCGTCTTCTACAAACAGGTCGTCCTATCCACCATTCCCCGACAGTGCCTCCCCTGCTCCCACGCCCGCTCCTGTCGCTGAAATGATTCCGATCAAACCAGAGTTGAAAACACCTGCAAACAAGGAGGAAGCGGCCAGGAAACGCAACATTTCAGAGCTGATTGACATGACGTTGCTGTCGGATGATGAAGATATGGGCCCTCCCCCGAAGCGGCTCAACTCAGACGCTATGCACTCCTATGGTTCCCCACATGCTCATATTGAGGATGCTATGGTTGTCGATAGTGAACCTGTGGTCAATAACTTCCCGATAGCCAATATCCCGGCCCGGACAGTTCCCCAGTCGACTCAACAGCCGGCACCTCCATCGGTGCATGTTCCGGAGCTTCGGCACGTGGCTGTCGCCGAAGCCTTGCAGAAAAAGAATGCACTTCGTAGGAACAACTACAATCCGGCTACGATTGCGCGAGATGTGCTTCTTGCTTGCGGCAGGCATCCATCTGAGCGGCAGCTGAATCAGCACCTGGAGGTTTTGAGAACAACTCTGCCGGTTACTTATGAAAGCGATCTAAGTACGATCAGATGGGACATACTGGATCCCGGAACTCCGCCTCCTGGATATTTCAAGGACAGTGTACAGGCTCTGACAGAAGATGCCGATGACGAGGAGGATTCTGAAGATGAATATGGAGAGGCGCGCCCGCGGGCTCAATCAAACGCGATTGGCGGTGAGAGTGGGGTACAGGCAAGGGTCCAAGCCTTACCTGAAGGAATCAACCCGTTTAAGCAGAAGAAGCGTGGTCGGCCACCGCGACACTCACTTCCCAACCCCACCGGGCCTGTTCCATTTACACCTAAGCGATCACCGAGTGCCGCCAATATGAGTGCTAGCGCTCCACGACCGAGCACAGCAAGCGTAGGGTACAGCGCCTTCCGTTCTGCTACAGAGTATGGACCGGATGGACAGCCTCTGCCTAAGAAGAGAGGCCGCCCAGTAGGTTGGAGAAAGGCCATCCATGGCTCGGTCGCTGCTCAGTCCAAGCCTGCAGCGAATGGCCATACGGGATCTGCCAATAAGCATCAGCCTTCCCAGCCAAGTAGTTTACGACATGTCAACACTGGAAGGGAAGAGCCTATACGCATCAACTCACGCTCGCCGAGTGTTGCCAATCGCGTTGCCCGCTATCAGTCATACAAGTGCAAGTGGCAGAACTGCACTGCTGACCTCCACAACCTAGAGACTTTGAAGAAGCATGTTTTCAAGGTGCACCGAAAGGAAACGCTTCGGAACACTCTGGAATGCCTGTGGGGCGATTGCGGCAAGGAGGTGACCAACTACGATCCCAACACAAACATGCGAATTGAGAAGCACACACCTCACTCTTTCGATCTTGAGAGCAACTGGCGCAATCACGTACAAGAGACTCACTTTGACCCGCTCTCATGGGAACTCGGTGACGGACCAGCCAGTGGTCTTTCGGGTAACGAAGATTAAGTTTCTCATGAAGCATCCATAGTCTAACAGAAAATGTAGAGGCGCATGACTCGGAAGCTTATCTGAGCGATGCTCAGGGCCGACCTGTGACACCGCGCATCAGAGCTGATCCTGATTGCGTCAATATGTATCAGTCAACATTGCAGGCTCCTGCGTCTGGTCCGCGTGGACGTGGTCGCCCACCAAAGAGCAGCCAAGAACAAGAAGCGCGCGAGGCGCAGGCCCGCTTGGTCTCGCAGAAGAGGCGCATTGGACCAGGCATGGATAGGGGAGGCGCAACGCTCGTTAACGATAAGCGTCGGAAAGGTTTCATCGATAACAACGGAGTAGAGGAGGAGTTGGTCGACGCAGAAGAATAGGCAGGAAAGATGTGCATTAAATTCTTGGGCTCAATTGGTCAACACCATCCGCATGTGGCTGACAGGGTCTTTGAGATATGCGCTTCTTTGTTTTACCATGCATATACCCTTAGTAAGGAGGTCTGAAAGACTTGATACGAGCAGCTTCACGCAGGTAATTTGGCTAGGAGCCAGAGTTGCTGCATTGGTGTAATGACTGATCTTCCACCCTTTCCAATTCAATTGTCCTCCATGTGTGCGCCTGAACTCCGTGCTGTATAGCATGCTTATGGTGATTGAAGTTTCCCGAACATGAAACTGCTCTTCTCGGCCAGCTTATGAATCAACGCGCTTCGTATCGTACACGCGTCGACCATGACATCTAGCTTCTTGCCTTTCCAGCCGCAACCTTGGGCTTCTCCGCAGCAGCGTGCTCTTCTGAGTTGACCTCAAGAAAGTGATATAGGACGATAAGGAGCATAGCTGCGCTTCCGAGGAAGATGGCGAGCGAGTAGAGTTGGCTGTCGGTAATCATTGTGGGTGTGGCTGCGCGTCCTGGATATGTGTGTTTGGGAGTTTGCTACCAATTCGTTAGCATGTACAATGGGTACAAGCATGCTTTTAGAACTCACAATAGGCACTGACGTAAATGCTTTAGTCGACAGGAGAAGAGGAATCAATTGTGTGTGGTGCGATGCGATTCGTGGATGCGCTCACGTCGAGGCCACCTTGAGCTTCGGAAAGCCGGGCGAGTAAGAGCGGGCTCGAGCGCAGTGCCTCCGCCACCAAGGATCTTTCCCGTTCCACCCCACACATCGTCATTCTCACTTTGACACACACAGCCCTGCCAATAATCACCACCAACCCCACCAGGCACCGTTTGGTCTTCACGACCGGCTACCTGAATATCCGAATACTCCACTCACACACACTCATTTAGCATCTCTATCCGCCAAAATGCCACCAAAAGGCAAGGGCGAGCAGCCCAAGGTGAAGAAGGTCGCCGTCGACAAGACCTTTGGTATGAAAAATAAAAAGGGAGGAGCCGCACAAAGACAGATCAAGCAAATCAACGCCACAACCGCCGCAGGAGGTACCCCCGAGCAGAAGCGCAAGGAAGCCGAAAAGCTGCAGAAGGAAAAGGAAAAGCTGGCAGCCGAAGCCGCCCGCAAGGAGGTCGCCGATCTTTTCAAGCCTGTGCAAATACAGAAAGTACCATTTGGCGTGGACCCGAAGACTATTCTCTGCCAGTTCTTCAAGAAGGGCAATTGCGAAAAGGGCAAGAAATGCAAGTTCTCACACGACCTCAATGTCGAGCGCAAGACCGAGAAGAGGAGTTTGTACACGGACAACCGAGACAAGGAAGAGGAAGAGGAGGCCAAGAAGAAGGAGACCAATACGGAGTGGGATGAGGAAAAGCTGCGGAGTGTCGTGCTGAGCAAGCACGGAAACCCTAAGACGACCACGGACAAGGTGTGCAAGTACTTTATTCAGGCAATCGAGGACCAGAAGTACGGTTGGTTCTGGACGTGTCCTAATGGTGGAGACGATTGCAAGTATAAGCACTCGCTACCACCTGGGTAAGTCGCAAAATATCCAATAGTTCAAAGACTGGACGCTAACTTTTCAACAGATTCGTTATCAAGACCAAAGAACAACGCGCTGCCGAGAAGGCCCTTATGGCCAATTCGCCAATGGCAACTCTCACTCTCGAAGACTTCCTCGAGTCCGAACGCCACAAGCTCACCGGCAAACTCACGCCCGTCACCGAAGAAACCTTCGCGAAGTGGAAGCTGGACCGTATAAGCAAGAAGCAGGCCGAGGAGGAGGCCAAGAAGATGAAGGAGGCGACTGGTCGTGCCATGTTCGAGAAGGGTGACTGGCAAGACAGCGACGCAGACAGCGACGATGAGGACGCGAGCTGGAACATCGACGCCATGCGCAGGGAGACCGAAGCTGCCAGAGCAAGGAAGGAAGAGGAGCGCATGGCTGCAACATTGGGCGAAGTCACGATTTCTTGAGCTACACGTATTCAGAAGGATGGTGGACTCGAGGTTCTGGGCCATACACGCTCACAGTTGCCACACAATGCTGCAAAAGCTTGCGGGGCATGATAGAGACCGGAGGATACAAAATGGCTTGGGCTGGATATTGCTTGTGGCGCATGCATCTGCATATGATCGGACGTCTTTGCGACAATGCATGACATTACTCCTGGTCTAAGTGCTAGACCATCAGGTGTCGGGAGTTCAGGTTTGGTGGATCGCGGAAGGACACGGATAGGACACACTCATGTTTTATATTAGGCTATCTATGACAGAACTGATATATGAATGCATTCTGGGCTTTACTAGACAGGCTACTGTGGTCCATTGCGTTCACTCGTCACTCAGCAACCAATGCATGCAACCTCGTCCCACGCCCAAGCCTGTTTGCTACTTTTTTTTGCAGGCGACGCAGGTGGTCCTTAAGATATATCGCTGGGGATGCTGTTGCTGTCCACCCGTGCGTTTCGAAACTATGCTTCAACACAGCTCTTGGGTATCAATTGGTCTACAGCTACTGAAGACATGTCATCTGTCGCTGTCGCCGAGCTCGCTTGGCTCCGCCAGATGCACATGTTCGCTGTGTTGGAATTAACGTAAGTATTGAGACGGCGAGTTCGGATATAAACTTTGAGCTTCTATAGTCGATAGCTCGCTCATAGGAGTTATCTGTAAGCTCGACGTAGGCAAAGGTGGAAGTGTATATACGGATACTCTATGTTCAAGCTGGAGGCGTACGCGATCTCTTCGGAAGTGTGCTTCTGATGATTTTGAAGGATAATTCACACCAACAATACCGAGGTTCGCTCCAGGCCTCATAATTACGCTCACTTGCCATCACCGTTCGCGGAGCACTCGAGTCCGACTTCTCTTTGGCGCTCATCGCAATATGAGTATCGGTGTCATACATCGTTGCCGAGTCTGAATGCCAGCCCTCAGGATAAAATGTAGGCTTTCGCTCGGGGCAAGACGTGCTCCTAGCCGAAAACACGATTGGCCACGATCCGTCAATCGGTCCGCCTCGCACGAAGTCAAGCAAAATGCTGACGGTCACATTGATCTGGGAAGAATACACGGCAAGTGTAGTGTTTCAAGTGTGGAGAATCGAAGTACCTGATGTCAACTCCGCGTCTTTCTTCCCCCACTTTCCGCGCGCTTCCTGTACACACCTGGGCAGCTCCGGTGGGCCAAAACTGTCTTGGCCGAGAGCTGTTTCAGAAGAGCAGCTCACGTGCTCCAGGGCTGGAAGAGCAAGTCAATGTTGATATGATACACCAGAGATTTGAACGATCAAAGCATTGTAGAGCGCTGTCACTGAACAGATTTATCGAGTGGTTATGCTCGGGTTAACGTGTAGTACCTGTCGCTGTTAAATATCAGCTATGCTAGATGGGGACAAGCGCAAAGCCTATCTTCGCATCAAAGTGCCGCAGAGCAGAGCCGCTACGCTCCCCGCAACATGACGGCATGCCTGTCGGCGCCTGTCTGTCCCCAGCTTCGAGAACCTGCATAACCGAATTTATTGCCGGGTTGAGTCCCATTCCCGTGGTCGCTTGCCATGGATCCGGCGTCCAGCACTATCGTTGGCCTCTTAAAGAGCCTCGCCGCGCTGCTTTTTGGTGACGATCATAAACCCCGGTTAATCTATTCTGTTTATTCTTGAGCATCACCATCTATTACTTCTACGATCTGGATACTGTAGACTCGTACTGTGACGCGCGGAGCATATTGATACCTTTTCTGCATTTCCCACACCAGACGGTTCGAAATGGCGGTGGAAAACTACGACATCGTCATTGTCGGCGCGGGACCGGTCGGCCTTTGTCTCTCGACATGCCTGGCGCGATGGGGATACAAAATCAAGCACATTGACAACAGGCCTGAGCCGACACCTACCGGCCGTGCAGATGGCATTCAACCCCGATCGCTTGACCTCTTGCGAAATATGGGCTTGAAGCGCAAGATCATGGAGTACGAGCCTGCAAAGGTATATGAAGTTGCTTTCTGGGACCCAAGTGCTAAAGGAATCCACCGCACAGGAACTTGGGCGAGTTGTCCAAAGTTCATTGATGCACGGTACCCATTCACAACGCTCCTCCACCAAGGCATGATTGAACGCGTGTTTATCGACGACATGGAAAAGAGCGGTACGAAGCTACAAAGACCGTGGACGATTACTGGTTTCAAGAATGATGGAAAGGACCCCATATACCCCGTTGAAGTCAACTTGGCACATGTCGACGGTACCATGTCAGAAACTGTTCGCGCAAAGTACTTGTTCAGTGGAGAGGGCGCAAGAAGTTTTATACGCGACCAGCTCGGCGTGAAAATCCGGTACAAGGACCCAATTGCGCACGTGTGGGGTGTCATGGACGGCGTTGTACGGACAAACTTTCCTGATATCAAGGTATGCAACATCAACCTCCCAGATTTGATTAAAGCCTAATTTGTCCTCCAGATGAAATGCACAATTCATTCAGACGCGGGAAGCATCATGGTCATCCCTCGCGAGAACAACATGGTCCGTCTCTACATCCAGGTTGCCAGTTCTACAGACAAAGATTGGGACCCGCGCAAGCAAGTCACTGCAGAAGAAACCCAGAAGCTCGCACAAGAAATTCTCAAGCCATACACAATAACATGGGATCGCATAGAGTGGTACTCAGTCTATCCAATTGGCCAAGGAATCGCAGAGCGTTACACGCTGGATGAACGTGTATTCATGGGCGGAGACGCGTGCCACACCCACTCGCCAAAGGCAGGACAAGGCATGAACACTGCTTTCCTCGACGCTGTAAACCTCGCCTGGAAGATTCATCACGTTGAAAGCGGCTGGGCAGCGCGCGACGTCCTCAAGACCTATGAATCCGAACGCCAGCTGATTGCTGAAACGCTCCTCGACTTCGACGCCCGCTACGCCAAACTGTTCTCCACACGCATTCCATCTGCAGGCGAAGTTGCAGGCGCGACATCTAATAAGCCCGCTGAAGAGAACGAATTCATCAAGACGTTCAAGGCATCTTGCGAATTCACCTCTGGCTACGGCGTAGCCTACAACCCCAATACCATTAATTGGGGCCCAGAGCATCCCTCCCAACACCCCCTCTATCTCTCCTACGAAAACGGCACCACCCAACGAACCGGCCGTATTCTCACAGCAGCGACCGTAACCCGTGTCGTGGACGCCAACGTCGTGCACCTCGAGCAAGAAATCCCGCTCAACGGCTCCTACCGCATATTCATCTTCGGCGGCGCCCTGGACAAGACATCCGCTGCGCTCAAAGACTTGGCTACAAACATGGCAAACCCCACATCCTTCTTCTCGTCGTTTTTGTACGAAGACCTGGTGAAGACAGATCGTTATCATGAACATCACAACCCGCATACGTCCTTCCTCTCCCTTGCGCTCATCTTCAATAGTGCAAGAAGCAATATTCACATCGATGAGCAATTGCCAAAGGTCTTTGCGCGCTATGCAGACCACGTGTATGCGGATGATGTGTGGGACCAGCGCGTGCCTGACGCCAAAGCGGCGGCGCACGCGAAGATGGGTTTGGACGAGGAGAAGGGGGGTATTGTTGTTGTCAGACCAGACGGGTATGTGAGTGTTGTTCTGAAGCTGGAAGAAGGCAGTGGAACGTGCGATGCACTGAACCAATACTTTGGTGTCATTACGGGCAAGAAGTTGGGCGCGGAGAAGGCGAGTTTGTAGATGTGCATAAAGATTGGGTGGATAGACGTCAGTATACCTCCGTTTTAGCGGATTGTTTTTTGCATATATAGCGCGTTGCCTGTTGTTTGGATCTGGATTGTAGATATGCATCAACATTGGGAAATATACACATACAAATGAATGTAGCATCTTTAGCACACCACGGCAACCATGGTCAAAACGAATCACTATAAGATAGCAGCCTAGTCTCGAGTATATAGACCACCACTACAGAAAGATAGGCAAAAATATGGACAAAAAGAGACTGGTCACTACGAGGGTCGAACTCGCGACCTTGGCGTGTCAAGGCAATATTTGCTATTAGCACCACGCTCTAACCAACTGAGCTAAGCGACCGTTATCAGGCACGTGATTTGAAGATTGTTTGAATTGGAGGAAATACATTCTGCTGCATTGACTGGAGCACCTGGCAGATCCTGCCTTGTGCAGCAGTATGCTGCTGTTCGCGGACCAGTCTTGAAATAGAGAGATTTCCAAGTTCTTGTTAGAACACAGATCTGGATTTTGTGACTCAAGAAGAGAATGGCGCGAAAGTGGAGCCGACCTTGAGATATTGAGCGAGGCACGCTATGTGGAGATAGAGATCAACTTGAGAATCAAGCGATGTCAAGAAATGTCCGCTCATGGATAGCACGCCCTAAAGTCATACGCAGCTATATTAGACGTGATCTAGGTAGATATATTTCAACGTTGAGTCGAAGACTGATGAACATGTAACACTCGAATACATAACGACCAACTCTTGTAGCCCTTCTCAGATAAATGTAGCACTAGGTCTTTGATATGTAGAAAGGCGGACAGTAAGACCTGAATATACACGCGGCAGAAATTAGCCAAGTGTGGTACACAATGGAGCTGTGAAGGTATCTAGGAGCTACTATGCCTCGACTGCTATAGCTCTCACAGTCTTCTCAGTATCTCCGGTCTCCAGTCATATACGAGCTACAGTGTTGGTAGCAATGTGAGTAATCTTTGGCCTTTAACTAAGCTGAGAGAGCAGTACTGCGGTATTCTAACCATTCCTCCACACTAGCAACTCTCCATCTCCGTTGAACGCCATTGAATGATGATCTGCTTGGCTGTTGAATTATGCTGGTATGTTTGGAGTGCTTGTCAAGCCCAGTTGTTATCTGCAAGCCTCTACACTCAGAACTGCGCATCTCTGTGGGTTATATCGGTCATGTGTTATACACGCTAAACATAATTCCAAAGCATATAGCGGCTGGCAATCTGAAGGTATACCCTCAACTGTCTGTATGATCCCGCATTTAAGTTGATCCGATGCAGTCTTGCAATCACAGTTATGGGAATTTTGGTATTGAGTAGCCATAAAATATATTCCCGCCCTGGAAACATGTGAAAATACGCCCATTTCATACGATACTGATGCTGAGTCCCTGATAGCTTGGCGATGCTGTTCAAGAGACCAAGGCCGCTGTTAGCCACCAATAATAATGATTTGGAGGTTTGCTTCACGCTGTGAATTTATCTCACTGATATGCTTGACACCAACGATCGAACGGGTTCAAGCCTCGGCGTTTTTCCTACAGACGTAGCATACATACACTGGCCCCGAAAGCACAACCACATCAACGTCAATTCACAGTCCAAGGGCGACAGAAGATAATGGATCCTGGAATTGTTCACCACATCATTGCGTTCCATTAAATAGCGTACAACTTTCGCAGGTGCTCTGGTCGTTGCACTGTGGTATACTAGAAAGTAGAAGCCCGAAGTGTCTAGGATTATGGGAAGTGCTGCAAGGTCCTGTACATGGTAGGGTCGAAGAACTCTTCAGCTTTTGGTCAACTAGGTACAGCTACGGTCTGGTCCTCTCAAATCCAAGGTCGAAATGACGGAACAATCTTGTACCGTGACTACTCAAGTCCAATCACTGCGGATATTTCCAGTAATCACAATAAGGCTGGCTTTTGACATTCACGCTCGTTGCAACATGACGGTGCTACTTGATTCCGATGTCACTATGAGATTGGTGCGGACCTGATGGCAATACTCGAGCATCCTCATCATAGCCGATCTTGTCGAACTGTGGATCCAGATAACGGACTTCCAGACTTTCTGGTCGTCCAATTTGCAGAACGCCGAAGTTGGGCGGGGACACTGAGCACTCTAATACCGTTGCGTCGGCGAACCGTGTGAATCAATCAGCAATTTACGTAAAGTGGGCACTTGTACCGTAGATATGTCTGCACAAGACGAAATTTGTGTGAGATGTGTCGTGAATTCCACGAAGTTTGGTACCACCAGCCTCGGGCCGGCTGATAGTCGGCGTGCACGGAGGGCGCACGGTCAGGGCACAGACTCGCAAATTTTCGCTACCGTAGCGGCTTGGCGGTCTCGTCCGTCTACTTAAGCCGTTTTTCCCCCATCACTTACACTCCAGTTCGACGAGTACGTTTTCCTAGACCCCTACCTTTTGCTATCCATCTAACAGCGCTGCAGTACTTCATAGAATCATTTCTATAGTTAGTCGTCCTCTTCTGAGCTTCTCAAAAAAGCCACAGATTCTCCAACCTGGTTGATGAGTTTCAGCCCCGATGTCCCGGAGTGAGGCCTTATTACGATTGCTTCGGCAAACGTGGCGATGATCTTCAGCCAACTGGTCTCGTACTTCGGTCGAGCTGGACGGCAGGACGTTGGTGGCAATCTGACAGGCTACCTTTTTTCATTGATCCTTCTGGCTTGCCAGTTGCTCGAGGAAGAATCTAATCCCTTGTCACAATTTTTTTTAACGCCAATGGTCACGGTCCTCGACAATACACGCACACCATCTATCGCGTCAAGGTCTTATTGTCAAGTCACAGAGTCTAAAGGTCGATATTTGACGCCGAGGCAGACTCTTGCCAGGGCGACTTGCCCGCCAGGATATCGTCCTCTCTCTCTTAGTTCTCTCGTACACGAACTCGCCACATGCGCGGCGATCGGTACCTGTTGCGGCGCAGCATGGCGGCCATGGTTCTCCTGCAGGTTGCGACCGATCTGATAGCCTGAAGCTATACCGTGTTGCTAGGCCTCGACTGCGACGGGAAGGCTCTGCCTACAGCTTCAGGAGCTCCAATCGCTTTCCATAGTACTTGGCAACGTACGCTCCCGTAAGCGGAACCGATCGAAAGTCCCCCAATCCGTCACGCCTTTCGCACCGCTCTTTCGGCGACGCAGCATATCAGTCATTTCAGGTGCTGCAATAATTCGCGCGCGCTTTGGAAAACCTGAATATTATCAGAGACTAGCTGCCATATCACATGCGAGCTTAGATAGCTAGTTAGCATGTTGTACCATGCTGAAAAAGCCTTGCAAGTATACAGCCTTACCTTCCTAACATTGATAGCGTTCAAAATCGAGATACCAGGCGCACGAATCTTAAAGCATCTTGTAGCTGTGACTACGTATCTGTCAGCAAAACAGCCCCGTGACACACGCATATCTAGTGCATGTTGTCGAGTACGATGGAAAGCGATCAGGGTGTCTGAAGCTATACACAGTCGTTTTGAACACATCCAAGTTGTTGTTGCATTCCAAAATCAAGATGTAAGGCCACGGGGTGCCCTTACGTTACATGAACAGTATCTCATCATTGCCAACACGAACAGCTCCTAAGTGTCGGCACACATATTCTCTTCGGGTCGTAAGGGCCAGATTGGAGCTCGCGAGATGGCAGCTGTATTTCTCCGTATCCACCAGCAGTCCAATTTTGGAAGTTACATCCTTATACGAAGACAAACTTCGCGGAATACTATTGATCCTCAACTGCGATGGAAAGAGACCGGATTGCAGCAGCAGACAGGCTACGCAATGCCCGTGTGGATTTCTTTCGTAGTTGATAACCTATTTACCAGCATGAAGTCTACACCAGACATCAGCAGCACCGAAGAGATTTGCACCCTCTATGCCACGACAAGCTCCCGCGAAACCAACAGGTGCACTACCCTTACTTCCTCCCTAACTATAATTTCCGCGTCCAATTCCCATGCCATGATTTTGGGCGACTCCAAATAAGCTCTTAACATGATCGTGGTTCCTGAAGCTGTTCGCGGCTTCGTTCTGATACGGCTAACGAACGATGGTGCTTCGAACACGTTGAGATATGACCTAGTTCAGGAGAGCAGATGGGAGTCTAGGATGTCTCATCAGGACTGAATGTCACCATCATTCGTCTGCGCATTTTCAGGATAGGCACAAGCAAAGGATGTCTGAAAGGAAGGGCTGGATATGCTCGAAAGGCTTGTCAGGTAGGCTCGTACATCAACAACGCCGTGAATGTATGCAGGCTGTAGTATGCCCTAGCGATACCAAAAAAAGCTAACACAAGCCGAGCAGCTTTGCAAACTGGGAGTGAATCTCATTGGCGTTTCGGTTATACTTTCTCTTCGAGAAGTACTCACTCAGCACCATCCGTACTTTTCATTGGCAATCCAATCAAGCTTCTCCGCGATTGGCCCATCGTGCTTTGGGTACCACTGCAAGCTCGCAATACTCTCTTCGTCCCTATCCACTACCTCCGCGCTCGGGTACAGTCGTTGAGCTGCTTTGACGGTCTCTTCCGCTGGGTTCCATATCTCAACGTGTTCCATCTTCCACGTCTCGGCCTCTTGCTGCGCCAACGCCATCAGCGCCGCAATAGAAGCTTCGTAGCTGTGATCTTTCGAGGCTCCATTTCCATGGCTCGCCGCCGTGTCAGCCCAACTGCCGTCTTCGATTACGAGTCGCAATATGTGGAGCGTGTTGCCTTTCGCCTCGGCGGGATTGTTGTTGTACCACATGCGTGTCCAGTAGCACCAAACGCGCTTTCCTTTCTCGGTCCCGACGATCGCTCCTTTCACTTTGGGCGCCTTACGATGCAACTCTGTTCCGACGAATTCTTCCCGAGCATGGTGCCAGCGGATCGTGTCGATATCTGGCAGTAAGGCGATCGCTGGCTTACTCCCTTGCGGCCGCGACTTCAAGCTTTGTTTGATCGATGTCACATCAGTGTCACACAGCTCTTCCAGATCCTCCGCGTACAGTGGGCGAGCAGTGGGAAGAGAATCCCCAGTCGCGGATCTGTGTCCTGGGATGGCAATGTGCGATGAATTGAACGGCTCCCACCCAAAAGTGTTGTAAAATTTCTGCCCATCTTAGCACATGTAGATTGGACGAACCTATCATACTAACCTTGCCAATGTCTGAGAATAAAATCGAAAACATACACTCCTTCCCTTCCTCCATCTGGTACGTCCTCAAGGCCTGGCTGAGCTCTGTCATCATGCGCTGCGCATATCCTCTCTTCCTCAGATGCGACGCACAGAATACACTTCCAATACCGTGGCAGATACTCTCATGTAGCTCGCCATTCTGCCAGATGAGTGTTTTCTTGCGGTACGTTTCGCAGCTTGCCAAAGGCAACCGGGTTCCCGATAAGGGATCTAGAGGATTGCCCTCAAGGGCTGTGTCGATCAAGATCCAGTACGAGATGCCGCCGTCTCGAGTGAGCGCCTGCTGCGACAGTGTCTCTTCGCGGCGAAGGTACGCGGGCAATGAAAGGGCGCCTCGCCACTCTGCACCATTCAAGTTGAATTGCATAAGCTTCTCTTCGTCGGTGGGATGCACCAGTCGAAGCGTAGGAGAATCTCCCCTGGGAAGGTCGGCAATGGAGCCCATGATTGTAGTTGCTGTGTCTAGATGTTCGAGTTGGCACCAGGGGTCTTATAATTGTCCCGAGACTAGCACTTTTGTACTTGTCGTTGTAGGGCGTCGGGGGTCAACGATTACGGTAGGTTAATGCAGTTCACAGCACAACAAGACGTGGCAAGGCGTAGTGTACTCGTCGCAAGTCGATCCGGTTGGATGTCGTTGCGAAGCAGATGAAAGAAATGACGATGCTTTGTCTAGGTCGTTGGGTACCCCACGGTTATCGGTCACCCCAACTTTCCCCAGACCTACCCCATGCCTTCTTATGCCCTCTTGCACAGTCTCACACATGCCGTCTGTGAAAGTTCCCGAGACCTTCTCCTGCTCTGCCCGATGTGTGCCGTGGGAAAGCGAGGGCATGTCATGGCTTACGAGTGTCATGTGCCGTGGTCAGGCTTCGACTGCACTATTACATAAAGACGCTTAACCTGCCGTGGCTCTCGCCAAACATGCCCATTGGCGATATGTGCAGCAGTTGCAAAACCAGCATCCTTCCCTGCCAGCCCTGCGGAGGTGTCGGTGTTGGAGCAGCGCCGCAAACAAATTGGCTAGTCCGCCCTGGATCTAATCCTGGAACCGCCTGGTGCCGCCGACTGGGCGCAACGCGGACCTCCGCTCTTGTAACCGCCATCGCGACCACATTCTGCTTGCTGTGAGCTGTCGTTGTGAGGAACCCCGTAATTTCGGTCGGTGTGGTACTACGTAGCTGCCATTCTTCGCCTTGCAGCCTGGTGCGCTTGCCAGCTTTGCCGAAGTGCAGCTCCGCACAGCAAACAGCGCACCTTGGAAGGGCTCGACCTTATAGCGACCCGTGGACCTGCACTTGCTGGAGCACCGCCAATATCATCCGATCGGGGTGCCGCACTTCGTCGTCGTCTAACTGTCTCGTTCTTTTTCTTCGGTCACCATACCCCTCATCGCAGCCCGCATGCCCTTCAGGCTGACGAGTTCGGACTTACAAGGCTGTGAAAGCAGCTGAACCAACTCGCGCGATTGCCCTTCCTTGCCCTCTCACTTCTACGTCCCTCGCTAGCTACAATTAATGTTTATTTCACCGTTTCGACAAGCTCTCATTGGCCCGGTCTGAGCTACCCGTGGTTTTGCGGCGCGGGATCTTGCGTGAGAACAAACCATCGCTACCACGACTGCCTGTAGATGCTCGCAGCACAATCACCCAAGTACAAGAAATTCACTCACCCTCACGCAGCCTCTCGCTCGGCCGGTTAGCTTCTTCCCCATCTCCACTCGAGAATCGACTCACTCTCATCAACTACACAACATCGCGATGGCCACGGCGCGTAACGCATTCGCGGGCCATGTCATCGTCGAATTATCGTCGGACAGCGAAGAGGAGGGAGCTTTGGTCGATTTTTCCGATTTTTCCGATACGGACGAGGAGCCTCAAGATCCTAACGCACATCTCCCCGCTGACCAGGACCCGGATCACTTAATCAGGGAGCTTAATGCGCGCTACAACCCTGTCTACGAAGCCGCCGACGGTATCATTGATCTGACTGGAATTCCTGATATCGACGTTCCACCATCCGATCCGCTGCTGGCAGATCGAGAATCTCCGGCACAAGACTGTGCCGGCAGCGACAAAGATTTAGTCACCGAGGCTGTGGCGTTGCAGATGGTCATAGACATCCTGCCAGATATCTCCATCGACCATGTGCTCGGCATCATCAGAGAGAAGACTACAGATCTCACGAGAACGAACGCGAGATGCCACGAGATCGTCTCGCAGCTTGTCGACACTGGAGACTACCCGAAAGAGGACGAGGACACAAAGAGCAAGAAGAGGAAAAGAAGCGACGAGGACGATTGGCAGGAGTACGACAAAGCTGAGCGAGATCTGGAGACACCGACATATGAATTAAACGCGTAAGTTGTCCCCCTTCACTAGCTCCATTGCATGCGTCCAGTGACTCCTCACTTCCCGTCATTGAAGAGGTCATTCAACTCGCCATCGCACTTGAGAATTTCCTCGTGATCCACTATGGACGGCGAATTGGATACTCTGATATGAGAAATCATGCACATTTCTATGTATAGCTGGGCTAGAATTCGTTCACAACGAGCTCCAGCAGCCCAATAGCCCACCAGCAGTACTCTGACGACAGCCAGGCCAGCTATGTCGAGCTGGCGATCTTCAAGTCGGCGGTGCAGCAACAGTCCTCTCTTTTGCTTACTACACATGCTATCTCCTACATACCACTAACCAATTTACTTTTCTAGTACGGAACTGCTCAAAGACGAATTCCTATCTGTCCCAGTTCGCCACGTCGTCAACGTCGTAAAGGAGCACAAAACTCTCTTCAAGAGCTACATCGTTCTCGAGGAGCAAACACGAAATTACGAAACCATTTCGAGGAACAGATTCTCCAGGATTGGCAAAGCGCGCAACAAGCGAGGCACCGAGAATCTCCTGATCGAACAAGGAAGCCAACTGCCCAAAGAACTCCACGCCGTGAAAAAGAAGATTGAGGTAGAAATGGGGAAGCGACGTAAAGCTGAGCAGGCGGAGAAGGCAGAAGTCGACAATCGCCAGCGCGCGGAAGCCAGCGGCCGAATGGGCGAGTGCGCCTGCTGTTTCGATGACGTACCTCTGAATCGCATGATCTCCTGTAATGGCGACCCAGCTCACTTCTACTGCATGGAGTGTCCAAAGCGGCAAATCGAGACACAGATGGGCCTTTCAAATTGTCGGCCAAAATGCTTTGGAGTCGACAACTGTGCTGGTACCTTTGCTCGGAAAGATCTCCAACAGGTCTTGGGCGATAAAACTTTCGAACGACTAGAGCACTTGCAGCAGCAAGAAGACCTCGCCGCTGCCGGCCTTGACTTTCTGTCAGAGTGCCCCTTCTGCGACTACAAGATGGAATGCCTTCCAGTTGAAGTTGACAAGGAGTTTCGCTGTCAAAACAAGAAATGCGGCAAGACCAGCTGTCGGCTTTGCGAGAAGGAGACACACATCCCTCTCACTTGCAAGGAGGCTGACAAGGACGGCCAAATCACATTGCGACACATCGTCGAGGAAGCCATGTCCGCAGCATTAATTCGGCAATGCAACAAGTGTAAACATCCATTCGTCAAGGAGTATGGCTGCAACAAGATGAGATGCTCGCACTGTAGGAACGTGCAATGGTAGGCCATCTGCAGAACCTATTACCGACTAGCTCGATTTACTAACATGCGCCTAGTTACGTCTGCTCCAAGAACGTTACCAATTACGAGCATTTTGGCGAAGTCGGACGAGGACGTTGTCCTTTGCACGAGAACGTCGAGGACCGGCACGAGCAAGAAGTCAAGAAGGCAGCCGATGATGCCATGGCCAAAGTTCGAGCGGACAATCCCAGCCTCTCGGACGCTGACTTGATGATCAAGGTCTCAGATAGAGTCAAGCAGGCAGAAGATGCTCGCAAAGGACGGGCGCAAGTTCAAGCTAACGCCTTTCCATATCACATGATTGGCGACCACCTACAGCATCTCGTAGAACCTCCCTTGCCACCACCTTTCCGTCAACCGGGCGCACCAGACCGACCAGTAGCTCAGTATGTACCCATCCACCCTTACGCAGTCGCCCCTATCCCCCTTTTCATGCATCACCAACCATTCGCTCAACCTCTGCAACACCTGCAACCTGCACAATTGTTCGGACCCCCGCCACATCAACACGACGCTATGGGTAATGCTGTGCTACAGCCACATCAGTACGTCTGCTTTTGTCGCGCAGCGCCTTACCATCCACCTCCGCCCCCATATCATCATTACCGTCATTACCCACCTAACATGTACCACTAGGCCTGCTGGATTTGGCTACAATATTCTCCCCATGAACCGGCTCGGAAATGCCCTGGGTCAACAAGCTCAACTAGCTCAAGAACCGAATCTCCGAGCTCAACAACCTCCTCCTCCTCCTCAGCAACCGCGCCCCTTCTACGAATTTATGCAAGACCCTCTACCCCGGGCCGGACAAGCTCAGCTGGATGCTAACCATGTGAACCAGAGGCTAGAAGAGCTGCGGAACCGGCAGCTGCAGCTGCAGCAGCAGCGGGCGCAGCTTGCTATGCAGCGGCGGTTGAGGCTTATGAATCTTCAGCAGGAAAACTTGGCTCGGCAGCGTGAATTGCTGCTACAGGACGATGACGGGGCTGCAATGCGCAACCTGCGAGCGGTGAGAGATCACCTGGAGGAGGCCATGAGAGCGCAGCCAAGGCCTCGACATGGTTGAGATGTGTTTTCTCCACGATTTTATACGAACACGACTTTATGACATGGGAGGATGAGGGACTGATTCATGGGCGCTCGGGGGAATATTGATACCCGGTAGCATTTCGCGTCATACTCGTCACAATGTTTGCTTGCAGATTTGCTATAACATTTTTTTTACGTCATGTTCTACGTGATGTTCAATGTCATGATTCGTTTTGTGAATCGTATGTCGTGCTGTTCTTCGTAGACAAAGGGCGTTGCTTCGTGTGCGCAGCTGTCATGATTTCCCCCATGCTCGAGGCCGTGAATCCCGAAGTGTCCCCAGGACGCATGCCTTGATTGCCATCAAGGTGCCATATAACATCCGCATCATTCCGCGACCCTCGTCGTCCTCGTTATGCTTCCCCTGTCGATTTTCCATCCGCACTTGACGGACCGTGCTCATCACATGCTTCAGCGCTTATACCTCGCCTGCACACTAGGATCCAACGGGTCACCATACCGCACTGCCCAACAGTCAGTCCCATGCTACATGTCAGGTCCATGCTCCAACAAGTACTCACACTTGATCTGCAACCCCTGCTCGACAATCGCATCCAACGCCCTACTCTCATCCTCCCTCGCCCGGGTATTCCTCCATTCCCACCCGGGCTGATCCTCCTGCCTGGTCCAACTGTACCCCGTCTCCGGATCCGTATGCGTGCCGACGGCCGGCTGCGCGAGGCTCAGCGGGCGCTTGCCGTTGGCGTTGACTGTGCCGCTGAGGGTGGAGGTATCGCGGGCCTGTGAGTTTGGCGGGGACAGCTCGGAGGTGGAGGTGAGGTTTTGGATGGAGGCGTTCATGGGGGTGGCCGGGTTGTTGGAGAGGGCTTCGTCGGGGAACATTTCGTCTGAGGAGGCGGAGGAGTGCATTGTGGAGTCGCCTTCGTGGTCTGCGGGGGAGGTTAGTATGCGTGATGTGGTGTTGAGTGGATGCGGTGCAAGTGGATATCACGCGTACCGGACATGGTTGTTTGATGTGTTGTGGAACGGGATTGTAGGAGTGGATAGTGTTCAGGAGCAGGTGCAGGTAGGCAGCAGTGGTGTGGACTGTGTACGGTATGATGGGGATGCAGCTCCGCACATGTTAGCTCCGGTCGCGTCGTTGGTTAGTTCCCGCGCGCGCTGCGGGCGCTTTCCATCCGTCGCTAAATGTTCCCTGCGACCACACCTCTGAACGACATCACTTGGACGCCTTGCTGAGCACGTTTGGTCTGTAAAGAAGACATTGTCTGATTTACTGCAAGAAGTCTAGGATATCATGCCACCAAAGGCACCGCTTGCAGGCGCTTGGGAAGACGACTGGGAGACTATTGCCGATGTACATGTGCCCCTCTTAGATATGTGCATGCGCTCACACATAATAGAAAGAGGACGCGAAACCACAGGAAGACCAGCCTCCGCCGAAATTGACAAAGGCTCAGCTCAAAGCCCAACATGCTGAGCTGAACCGAAAGATCTGGGAGTCCGCGTATGTCTGAACTTGCGAGCACTCAACACAACAGCTCGTCCTAACACACACAGCGAGAACCCAGACCCGCAATGGTACCCCGAAGCACACAACCCCGCCCCCGTCCAGGCCCCCTTCAAGCCCAAAGTCACCATGCTGGCCCGCAAGCCCGCCCCGCAAGTTTTATCCCGAAACATGGCCGGCCTGAACCTCGACGACGACGACAGCGAAGAAGAGCGGCGCAAAAAAGCCGCTGCCGACTTCGAAGAGCGAAAACAGCGCGCCCAGCGCGAACGTGCCGAAAAAGAACGCAAGTACGCGGAAGCACGCGAACGCATCTTCGGCTCGCCAGCGGCGTCTGAGGGCTCGCGCAGTAACTCGCCGAACAAAGCGACACGGGGGAAGGGCAAGGCGAGAGGGGGTGGGCAGCCGAGATCGAGCAATGAGCAGTCGCCGGCACGAACAGCGGCGCCGGCGCCAGCGATGGCGAGGGGGTTGTATGATCCTACGTACGCGCCTAAGCCGGGATCGGTGTTCATTCAGAAGAAGGAGGCGAATGGTAGTCGGCCTGGGACACCGAGCGGGCTGGAGAAGCCGGTACGTCAACCTCAGGGCCCGGCGAAGGATGGTGGGCGTGGCTTCGGTGTGAGAAATGTTGCTGGCCCATCATGAGACTGTCGTGGAGGAGGGTAGACGCTCGCAAGGCAGCGCAGGGCTGCTTCAAATGCCGCTTCCCCCTTCGATGGACGTTGGGTCCGGCTTTTGACGAAAGCCCATACTGCTGTGTGGATGCTGGATCCTTCGGCAGTAACGGTGTAACGGAGAGTACCATGCTTCATGATGGAGGTTGTACGTCTTCATTTCACATGGGGGTTCCACTGTGGGTATTCGTGCTTACCCCCAACATTCGAGCCCTCAAGGGTGCTGCATGTCTTCGGTGGGAGGGAGAGCTCCAGCTATACCGAGCCAGGACGGGATGTGGAGTAAACTGATGGAACAGGATATGAGAACAGGCTTTGGGGTTGTGTCGATCCATCAGGCATGGAAGGTTGGAGACGCACCAGGAGCAAGCCAGTTGATAAGAAGACGAAAGATGATCCTGGGAACAACCTGTTGGGGCCCAGAATGTGGGGAGGATAAGAAGTGGGAGCAGCGAGGATAGCATCAAAGCATGGAATCGGTGCACTTCATGGATGATCACAGATGATATCAACAACAAGGTGTCTCCATTCTATCACAGACACCCAAACTCTGACCATAGAGCTAGAGCGCACATTACGCGTCTGACAGCGTTCTTCTCTTGCCACAATTGCCGCAGACTGCATGGTACTATCGTTTCGATACCTCTGCTTTGTTGGACCCTGAAAGTCGCTGGCTATATGCTGACAGCACCGGCCCGTTTCCTACCCATCATTCTACCGCACGCGTCACGGCACTTCGCGGGATTTACTGCGGACGAATCACCTAGCATCTCTGGCGAAGCAACTTTCGGTCTTTGAAGCTTTTCGGCATTTGAATAGAGTTCGACACCACAACTACCTTGACTACCATATCAACCACAGACGCCGAAATACCGAACATCTCTGCAAAACAGACCGGAACATGCTCGCAAAACCAACCGTAAGCTGAAGTTCGTCGTAAGCACCGGCGTGTCAAGCACGGTCCACCCATGAAGCCACACTCACAGCCTGCCACGATACCTGCTGTTCCGCGTTTGTACCCTGCATGCTGCGAGGTGTCACGGGGGGAAAGCGATTCAACATCCGCACGTTGCTAATGCAGTGTTTGTGCGAGAAGGATTCCGATGTCGCTGGATGTGACGAGGAGGTTGATGTGCAGCTGAGAAGCTTCAAGAAGTTGTAAGCAGCGAGATGGGGTACTGCTTTGCACTTGCACTGCTGATTTGGACATGCACGTATCCCTTCCCCAAAGCCAAACGCAACTCCTCATCTCCGATTGGCCACCACGCGTCCTGACGACGGTCCCTCGCAAAAGCGCTTGTGGAGAAGGCTCGTCGGGCTGGGCGATCAATAACGCGGCATCACAGGGTCACGCTGCGGAACGAATCAGCTGCGTCCGCAAGCGGGAGAGCTAAGCTCCAACGGTGGGCTTAGCCCCAGACCCTGGTCTATCCTTTGACATTGGCTTCCGGTCGACATGCCAGGTGATTTACTTTGCCAATTGCCGTTAAGGTTTGGGGTATGTTGTTGCGGTGAGTGAGGGTAGAAGGGCAGGACAGCTTAAATACGGCCTTCTGGAAGTTTTTTGAGAGAGGGAAGGTGACGGCTTTGTACTACCAATCTTAACATTTTAACTTTTCCAGGGTCTGGCTATTTTCTTTACTTCGTCAGGTAGTCGTCATTTGTGTCTGTGGGATCCGCACGCCCGATTGCTTGAGTGA